AATACAACTCAGGTATCAGAATGTAACTCTAGTCTAGACCTTCATCTATAAATATGAATGGACAACCTAGAAGAACCATGCTTTTGAGGAAAACCAGCAGTCTGAAAGACATCAAATTCAACCAACTAAATAATGAAAGAGATATAGAATACAGAATAAACTTTAAATCCTCAGAGATATTTGGGGAGATATTGTATCCACCAAAAAAAAAAAAAAAAAAAGATTGCTGTGAAAAAGAAACTAAGTTTATTTTGGAATTAAAATATAATCTTTTAAATAAAACTTGGGTAGATGGAATGAAGATCAAATTAGCTAGCTTGGAAAAAAGAGTTTAGGAATTCTAAGAATGTAGTAGAAAGACAAAGAGAAAACATGGGAGAAAAGTTAAAGCAATATGGAGGCTAGATTTAGGAGTCCTTACGTCCTATAATAGAAATTCTAGTAAGAGTGAACAGAGAAAATGGAAGAAAGTATAGAAACAACAGGAGAAAATTTCTTGAGTTCAAGAAGGGCTCAAGTCTTGATTGGAAGGGCCCACTGGGTTCTGGATGTAAGATGACCAAAGCTTATTAGAGTGGTAGCAGTGAAAATAGAGGACGTGATGAATTTAAGAGTGGCTGGCTTTGAGACGAATTTAATTTAAGGGCTGAATTGGTAAGAGAAGTGAAATATAATTATCTGAAGAAATGATGGCTAACATTGAACAACATAGAAAAAAAATTGGGAAAGAAATGTAACTTAAGAGGGAAGATGTTAATTAGGCTTTAAATGTAAATTTTCACCAGTTCCCGTTTCCCTCTAAGAAAAATTCTGTTATAGACAGATCTGCTTTTGTTTGCCTTTCCTGCAGCTTGAGCAGTTTCATCTACCGTGTATAATACAATTTGGTTCTCTGAGTGTGACTTAGGGAGAAGAACTAGAGTCGAGTCATAAAATTAAAAGGCGTTGCGTTTTTGGGAGACCAAAAGCAGAAAAGTGATTCGTGTATGTATATTAGGTGCAAAAAGCAAAGTGAATATATAAGCACCCTCTTAACTTCCCAAGAGGGAGATGATGAAAGTATCTAGGCATCAAGAGATATAAAACTGAAATAAATTATATTCATTATCCCTAATTTAAGGTAGATAAAATGTTGTTGCTATGCCTCTTAACTTGGTATGGTATTTTCATTGATTTATTTTAAGGAATGGAAGAAAGTTTTTTTTGAATTTCCCGTTTCTCTCAACCCATTATTTCCCTTAAAGCTGTGCGTTTTTCTATTGTGAATTCTTCCACAGCATTTTCAGGAGCATGACTCCTGCAACCAAGAAGGGAATATTTTACTGAGCTTGAGGTGAGTGTGGGATCCCAGAAGTATTTTGAGGGCATTTGATAATCAGACTAAAGGTTAGTATGTGTTCACCCAAATTGTTAGATTCTTGGTTCTCTGAACTGTTCGGCTTATTTGTCTTCAGATTCAACTGGTGTCTGGGCTTGGTTCCTGCAGCAAAGGCAGGGGCACTTTCAGTTACCATGTCAGTGCCCGTTCCCTGCCCTTACTTTATCACAGTCCTGAGAACTCTTCTTAGTAGGTTCAAGTCTAAGAACATTGGCATCATTCTGATTGTCAGAGAGATTTACTTCTAACCCCACAGGGGTTACAAAGTTGAAGTATAGTCATCTCTGCTTGGAAGTACAAAACATGTTTTTTTCTGATTTGAGTTTTTATAATGACAAAATAGAAGGAAAAATAACCAGTCAAAACTGTTGAACAGTTACTGCTCACTTAAGTCAAAATAAGGTGAGTGGACACCCTCCATTTGGGCCAAAATATCTTTTAGGAAATGGATATGATGTAAAATGATGGGAATAATAGCAAATAAGTCGGTTATGGTAGCTTGGGTTAATATTCAGAGCACCCTGACTATTGGGGAGCTGCTGAGACTTTCTGAGCAGGGGAGCGCTGTGATCAGCAGAGCTTTGGAGGGTTAGTCTGCCTGCCACAGATTGCAGGAATGCCTCAGCATTTGGCAGCAGCCCTTACTTTGTATTAGGGTTCCTAGTCTTGTTGTGGGAGTGGCAGAATGGAGTGAAAGGCCAGTTGAGAGGCTATTTTCATCCTACAGGGATCAGGAAATATGAAGCTGAGAGTGAATGGTGACAGTGGGAATAAAAAGAAAGGGACAGATTTCTGAGAAGTTGCAGAGAAGGAATAGACATGGTCTGACAACCTGACTGAATATAAGCAGAGAAGAAGGAAAAGGCCATAGTGGTCATGCCAGGAGAAAGCAGAGTTTTATCCTGATGAAAATATTTAGACAGTCTGGTGGAAGTGTTAGGTGCTACGCTGAGTGTGTGGATTTGGGGAATCATCTTTGTGTAAATGGTAGTTGAAACCATGGAATAAAGAGCAGAAGAGAAGAGGGCTGATTGCACCACCCTGGGCCAGGCTGCAGTAATGGGTGAGGGGAGGCAGAGTAAACAGCAGTTGGGAAGGTGGGAAGAGATCTAGGATGTCACTTAAGGAAACTGAGAAAGGAGAGAATTTCCAAATCGAGGGGATTGATTATCTGTCAAACTCTAGTAGAAAAGCCAAAGAGGATGAATGCCGAGAAAAGGAGTTATTGTGCAGGTTGAGAATTCTTAGAGCTGATGGGATTGGGTTTATGTAGGGAAATTGAGGAGAGGGGCCTTAAATACCTTAATGAATCTCATTTATTGCCTTCTTAATTGGCTTAATTTCACATAGTGGTGTGTCATTATGCTTAGAAGATTAATTTACGTTTATCATTTTGTAAGAGGGAAAAAGAATAATGGCCAGAGATGATATTGGTGGGAAGAGAGGAGTGACAACTTATTCAGAACGGGTATACTTTCCATTTTTCGTAGTTGAAAATTTTTTTGTTGATCTGTTTAATTTGAAGCAGTTCGAATAAATAACATGGAACGTGTTCTTTCTTGAAAATGAATAGAATATGTCTCAGAGTTGACATGTTGAAAATTCATTTATTATATTAATATTAATTAATTTTCTCCTGGCTATTTCTTTAAGAAATATATATATATGTTTAGCATCTGAAAAAAAAGACATATATAATTTTATTTATTTATTTTCCCCCCCAAAGCCCCAGTAGATAGTTGCATGTCATAGCTGCACATCCTTCTAGTTGCTGTATGTGGGACGCGGCCTCAGCATGGCCAGAGAAGCGGTGCGTCGGTGCGCACCCGGGATCCGAACCCGGGCCGCCAGCAGCGGAGCGCGCGCACTCAACCGCCAAGCCACGGGGCCGGCCCAAAAGACATATATAAATAACCATAATTTATAGCAAAAAAGTACAATTAGAGAAAAAAGAAAAAGTGCTGTGGAAGTTCAGAGAAGGGAGAGATTATTTTCAGCTCTTTATTTGTTTCTGGAGAAGGGGATTTGGGGGAAAGGTCCAAGGAGAGATGATAGGGGAAACGTCTTCCAGGTAGAAGAAACCCTGAGCCAAATATAGAGTTGGGGTCTCATGGGGAAATTGGGCATTTGTGTTTGGCCGAGTGTGGTGGTGGGAGGAGGTGCTTGAAGGAAAGGGGAAATATTGATGGAAAGATAGTTTGGTGCTGGAACTTAGAAGATGGCAGGAGTTTGAGCTTTATTTGGAGGTAGCAGGGAGCCATTAAACATTTTTGAACAGAGGAATAACATTAGCTAGCTTATGCTTTAGAAAAATGACTCTTGTTTCTGTTATTTGAAATTTTAATAAGCATGCAGCACTTATATCATCAGCAAAGTGATAAAGATAAAAGAAAGATGTATCTAATAGTACCATTGAAGTTGGATTAGAAAGTGAGAAAGAGATAAGGAAACCAGTGAGGGAGGAGGTTTATGCAATACTTACAACATGAGTAAACCACAATCCTTGATGTCTGCTCTTTTGAAACAGTGATTACTATTAAGTAGTATATTATTTAATTGGTTAAGTTCTTTCTGTTGTAAGTTTTTGGCTTAAGTAGAAAAGGGAGCATTAAGATCATTGGGATGTCATGCAAAAACCCAAGGCAGACAAGGTTCTGTAGCTGGACCTCAGAAAGGTCTAGAACCAGGAACTAAAAAGCTATTGGTAAGCCTCCACTCCCTGCTCCCTCTACTCTGTTTCTCAACACATTCACTGGATTCTTTTTATTTTTTATTTGTAAACTTTATCTCACTAGTCTAAGCCGAAGTTGGAAAATGGCCTTCCTCAGCTTCTATGTTCCAGCCACCAGGAGAGAGAGAAAGAGAGACTGAGACTGACTGACCCTTGCTCATGGTTTCAGATTCTCAAGGATAGGACTTTGATTTTATTGTGCTCAAAGATGAACTTATTTTTACCATTTTATAGCTAGTGCCAGTCAACTGTGTCCAGGAGAGTATAAATACACTGTGGGAATTTGCTTCTCTAGATTGGAGGGTTAGTTAAGAGAGGTCATTGTGAGTTAGGCAGAAATCCCAAAGGGTGTTTACTATAATTATGTACTTCAAATTTTTACTGTTGTTGGTTGAAAGATAGCAGACTACAGTAAATTTAGAGAAGTAATATGAAAATCGTGCAGAAATTTCCACCCAATAAGCTACAGTGTGTTTAAATTGAACCTTAATAAAACCAGTTATCCTTGTGGGAGTGTGGGGTGTACTGACTGAGAGGAGACAAGAGTGCTGGGGTGCTGGAAATGTTCTATATCTTGATCTGGGTAGTGTAGTGGTTGCACAGGTTTATGCATGTGTCAAAATTCATCAAGATGTGTGCACTTGATGTTTGTAAGCAGTATCTCAATTAAACAAGGTCTAGGCAAAGTTGACTTGTTTGATTTATCTGCCTTACCTTGTCATATAGATAGATGCCCATATGTCATTGGAAATCAGTTAAGTTCTCTTTTATTTTTGATAGATGTCCGTCTGTCACATAATTTTGTGTTTCAGAAATGTAAATATCATGATGACATTTTTAATATATGACATAAAAAAAGTAATACTTGGTTTACTTTTTTCCCTAATTTAGGAGCTGTGACTGATGAGAATTAAAGGCCATGGATGAAGATGGACTTGAATTACAACCACAAGAGCCAAATTCATTTTTTGATGCAACAGGTATAACTACTTGGATTGTTCCGCTTCCCAGCTACCAAATTTGGAGTTGATTGTCAAGTGGACAAATTGTAGACTCTCACGTTGATATTCACATTTAGTATCTTGTTATCCTGTCAAAAATACAAATGTTAAAGTGAGCACATTATTATACCCCTCCTTAAAAATTTGACTCCCTCACAACCAACTCTCATATTCTTGTCAGTAACAGCAGCAGTATCAAAACCTTATTGTTATCTTCAGTAATTCTCATCTTGCCCACTTAGAGCACTAAGTCTTATTCTCCCTTTGAAAATGTTCCTTGCTTACATCTCTTCATTCTACTTCCTACCACATAGACAGGCTCTATAATCTCATTCTTAGTCTGCAATAACTTTTAAATTCTTTTCCTTACCCTTAGTCTCTTTTATCTAGTCCACCAATCAGAATACTCATTGTAAAATAACATGGGATCATGTCATTTCTCTGTTTTCCATTACCTAGCAAGTAAAGTATAAACCTAAGGCCCTCCATGTTCTGACCCCATCCTACTTTTACAACCCTGTCTCTCACAAGTTGACAAAAGGAGCCTTTTGCTTCAGGAAGACGGAGTCTTACTTCACTCCCCAAATTGTACAAGGAAAATTAAATTCATGTAGTTCTAAAAATAGAAAAAAATTATTCACTATTTTAGATTATTCATGGTTCCAATTATATAACATTGTAAAGTGATTAAATTTTATAATGTAAAATGGTTTTATATCACACTAACTAGCTACCCTTATAAATAAAATGTTAATGAGTTTTCCTTTGGACTTGAAATGATTATATTGCAGTATATTAAAGAAACAGCATTAACTTTATCAGGAAATTAAATATTAGTGATTTTTAATTTTAACTTTTCTTTAATCTCTAAATCCAGTGGGGGTATGTGTATTTTTCTTAACAATTTGGGATAGTCTTTTGACTCATGTTAGGTAATTTCAGTTGGATAATGATAAATGCAAAGTTATAATTCTTTCTTCATTAGAACATGAAGTATAATTAATGTGCTTGAAAGAAAGACTAAGCTCTTTGGAGAAAAACGCACAGTATTTACTAGCTTAATCTTGCCACAAGCAAGTCTGGGTCATGGGCTAAGTGGTAGATTGAACGGCATATGCATTTTAGCCCTGATTGTTAACACTTATGGTGTTTGTTTATCTTTGAGCAAGTCACTTAATCTGCCAGGGCCTCCGTTTTCATATGTCCTAATAATAATGAAACCTCTCATTACAGTTTTTCAGAACACTTCCCATACATTCCCATTTGATCATCACAACAGTCCTGTGAGGTATGCATGGCAGATACTACTGTCCTCATTTTACTGATGAGGAAACCGAAACTCAGAGGTTAAATGACTTGCCCAAGGTCGCAAAACTAATAAGTGTCCAAACTCTGCTCTCTGATTTAGATTTTGTAACCAGTGCTCTTGCCACTAAATGCTTTCATCTTCATGTCTGCAAGATGGAGATTACAGTGATTTATTGCTTGATGTTAATATTGAGAATATTGAAAAGAAATGAATATAAAGTATTTCGTAGAAGTTCTATAGAAATTAAAGCAAACATACTCTTTTTATTATTTCTAGATGTAGTTAGAATGGATATTAACTGGCTTTAAGATTTCTTACATTTTTTAAGGTTCTTTGGCCCTTGTTGGTCATTGGTGTTTGTTGAACAAAGCCATGTGTCTTTCTGAGGGCCTGGCTAGTGATACACAGTCAATGAGTTAGGCAGCTCATTGGACTCTGCCTGCTCTGAGTCACATCCAGAAGCACTAATTGACTGAATAGCTTATTTTTAGGTAAGACTTTTATAAAAAACTTCGTTTGCTTTTCTCTGAACCAGGAGCCAAGATACCGAATTTGTTTTTCTTTTATTTTATCTTACATTATGTTTTTGGCAAGGATATCTGATTTTGATTCCCATTTGTGGCATTCATTCAGAGTAATAATTAGTGAGCACCATAATCTGTGCAAACTGTGTGATCTTGGTGAAGTCATTTAATCTCACTGGGCTTCAATTGATTCAACCCTCTACCTTCATTCCTTAACTGCAGAGTGGACTAGAGTAGGGTTTCTTATATTCTGAGGAACTGCCTGAGGGATTGGGGAATGGGGGATGGGAGGAGGCCAGGTGAAGGTGGAGTACACTGGTGAAGTTGGGGCAAACCCTGCTCCAACTAACCTCAACCTCCACCGCTCCAGAGCAGCTGCTCTTTTATTCATTTTATCTATCCACAGAGGCTTCTTGACCAGTTGTCTTTCCTCCTTAACTGTGGCCTTCTAGCCCCTTTTTCATTTATGCCCCAATCCTTTTATATCCTGGATTCAGAGGATAATTTCTAAACTTCCATAGTCATAAATGGAGGATATTGGTGGGAGATTGTACCAGAACAAAGGGGGAGAAAGCAAAAAAAATAGAAGGGAAGTAAAAGAAATACATGGGAGAGATGGAAAGAAGAAAAATATGAATTGAGAGAAAGATGGAGCAAGAAGGAAAAGAAATGAGAAAAACATAATGAAGGAAAATGGTATATTTGCCACTTGAAGTTGCTTTACTTATTAATTTTTATAATCATCCCTTAAGTTCTTATGTATATGGATTTAATTTTAGTGAGCCTAGAATTTTACTTTCATGAATATTTTTCTTTTGCGACTGCCTCAATTGCTTTGTTTTTCTATTATTTCCTTATCAATTGATTTGGGATGAATATAAAAGTTCTTGCATTAAAAATTTCTGTTTCTGATAATGATTCAAAAATAGATTCCCTCTTTATTTCTTTATCTATCATAATGTTTGAGAAACCTGAGGAGCTAGTCTGTTTTCCTGGTAGAAATTAAATCACATTTACATTAATTGAGGTAGCCATGCATGCCTACTTGAAATTTGTGATTTTAATTTTTTTTTTTTTTTAAGGAGCTGATGCTACACACATGGATGGTGATCAAATTGTTGTGGAAGTACAAGAAACTGTTTTTGTTTCAGATGTTGTGGATTCAGACATAACTGTGCATAACTTTGTTCCTGATGACCCAGACTCAGTTGTAATCCAAGATGTTATCGAGGACGTTGTTATAGAAGATGTTCAATGCCCAGATATCATGGAAGAAGCAGATGTATCTGAAACGGTCATCATTCCTGAGCAAGTGCTAGACTCAGATGTAACCGAAGAAGTTTCTTTAGCACATTGCACAGTCCCAGATGATGTTTTAGCTTCTGATATTACTTCAGCCTCAATGTCTATGCCAGAACATGTCTTGACGAGTGAATCTATACATGTGTCTGATGTTGGACACGTTGAGCATGTGGTTCATGATAGTGTAGTAGAGGCAGAAATCGTCACTGATCCTCTGACAACTGACGTAGTTTCAGAAGAAGTATTGGTAGCAGATTGTGCCTCTGAAGCAGTCATAGATGCCAATGGGATCCCTGTGGACCAGCAAGATGATGACAAAAGCAACTGTGAGGACTACCTTATGATTTCCTGTAAGTCTTGGGGTACAGTGATTGTCAAAGGTATTTTTGAAGGCTGCCTTTGCTAACTTACATCAGGGGTGAAATTTTCTTGACTTCTATAAATTAAAGTAAATCTTATGGACCTGCATTGTTGTTTCAGTTTGGAGCCTGTAAGATAACTCAAAATTAAGAAAAGTGAAATGGTGCAAGGTAGAGTTTTTTCTCTATAAGGATGCAATAGAAAGATAAAATTTCTTCAGTCTAGGACAAAGATGGAAAGGAATAGAACTGAACTTCGTGAAATCGTGAAGGATGTGATTAGGCTGTTACCAGCCTTTATTAGAATTAGGAACCCTCTGGAAACTTAAAAGGAGTTTAACTTGGAAAAAAATGTGTAACCAAACTACTTATATTCTTGTATATGGATGCACAGTACTACCTTTGTAATACTTACGTACTTTACTTATATAATATATAAAATGCTATTTATATAACAGATAGCATGGAAAAGAGCTCTGGCATAGTATTGAAACATAAATGATTCCAAAACATGATTTTAAGTATGATGGACTCATTAGGTTATTGAAGAAAAGTAAGGTGTTTTGGAACACACTCTGAATGTTTAACTTAACGTCTGGGAGGGCAGCTATGTCTTCTTAGAGCTTATTTCTTGGTATCACTTGCAGAGATAAAAAGCTTCAGTTGGACAGACCACAGTTCTGACTCAGTATGGAGATTCTTATGCCTTTAGGAACTAAGCTTCAAACAAATAAAGACTCACAGACTATTTGCTTATATAAATTCACAAGACTATTTGCTTTGCTTGAATACCCGTTATAATACAGGATTTTAATATAACATATATTGAAGTCCACCAGCATTTTAGGAAATACCTTTTAAAAGTTCTTGAGATTTTGTAAATCAGAGAATTCTTTGTGTAAAGAGGAAGAAAATGCCTTCATTCAACACATGTTTATTGGGCCCTTACTATGTGTCAGATATTGTTGTAGGTAGTGCAGAAATGGATTTGTGCTAATAAAAAAAAATACATGAAACCATTTTCCTTGGAGAGCTTACAGTCTACTGTGGGAGCCAAAGATAGGTTACATTGTGATGCAGAGGTGTGACTCAATTGCTGTGGAGACAGAAGGGAGTTGCTGACCTTTGAACTCAAGGATGAGTTCTAGTTTTACAAATTAAAGAAGGGCATGGGTGGGAGGCAGACATTCCAGGCAAATGGTATAGTATGTAAAAATGGTCCTGGCCTTTGCTGGGAATGATGGGAACTTTAGGACGTACTTGTATATCTTTGTGCACTTTCCGTTTAATTCCTTAGAATAAATTTCTAGAAATAGAATTGCTGGATCAAAGAGTAGACACATTTACAAGTCTGGTTATATTGCCTCAATATTTTGCCAAATATACTCCCACCAAGTTTATGAGAATGTCTATTTCTCTACACTGACCAACACAGGGTATTATTTTCCTTTTTAGTTTTTGCCAATCTGACAGGGAAAAATATGGTATCCTGTTTCAAGTTTGAATTTATTTTAGGAAGATAATCCTGGTGGTAACATGGAACAAGAATAGGTGAGGGAGAGATCAGTGGCAGAGAGTAGTTGAAATGAGTCATATATGACATAAAGAAGATCCTAAGTACCTTCATAGTGATGGGGACAGAGAGAGGGAGCTGGATTCAAGAGAGATTAGAAAGTAAAATGGATGAGATTTGGTGACAGATAGAATAGGGGCAGGCATTTGAGGGAGAAAGAGAATTCAAGGAAGGCCCAAAGGTTTCTACCTTGGGAGATTGGGTGCCTGGTCATGCCATTACTTGAGAGAAGGAATAGATTTGGTGGAAAGGAAATTATTGAGGGCCTGTTAAAAGTTTGAGTTGCTTGCTGGGGACAATCTGGTGGATGTTTTCTCTAGGCAGTTGAAAATATGAATTTGGTGCTTTTGAGAGAGTTTGTGGCTAGAGGAAGAAATTTGGGACAACAGAATATAGGTAGTATCCTATGTGGAAATCGATGGTGGTCCCCAGAGAGTGCTTGTAGAATAAGTGTGTCAAGTATGGATCCTTTGGGTGTGTAAGAAGTAAGCAGAGGAGAAAAGCCTGTGAAAATCTGGAGGTTTTGGGAAGAGGAGGAGGATAAAAACCTTTAGAGAGTGTTTTTAACACTGTCAGAGATAAACAGAATTTCTACAAGTGTTGGTCACTCAGGAGAGTGGGCTTTTTCGTTGGATAATTAGGAGGTCATTGGTATCTTAATTAGAATAGTTTTAATAAAGCATGGGCCAATGGAGAGGAGATTGAAGAGATGAGCTGTGATGGATTGAGAAGTTGGTGGAAGTGGAGTAGGTGAAGTGGTTTGTATAAATTGCCATTTAGGTCATTGAAGGGATACAAGAGGCAAGAGTACAGCTTTTGATGGTGGGCTGCATGGTGAAAGTGTGTTGAGCATATTTATAGGCTTATAGGTGCAGAACACAAACCATTGGACAGAGAGGGACTAAAGATAAAGGAAGGGCTAGGTTCCAGAGAAGAGGAAGGGAGTAGGGTCCAGGGCAGCAGTGGAGGGCTGATAGGTGAGTCCTAGAGAGGAAGAGTGAGTCCTCTTCTCTGAGACTGGAAGGCAGTTAAGGATGAGGCCCCTATTGGTAAAATTGGAGAGCCAGGGGTAGAAAGTAAAAGGAGTGTTTAAGTGTTGGGAGCTATTTTCTCTGTGCAGCAAATTCACCTACTAATGTATAAGGACCTGCAGAGATTGAGTGGAAAGCTGAAGGATAGTGGCAAAGGGTTGAAAAAGCCTTCGCCTTATGGGGATGGGCCAGAGCAAGAAGCTAAGAACTTATAAGATAGATGGCTGAACTTCATTGAGGGGCCATCTGAGATTGGGAGTCTTAAGGTTGTACGTAAGATGTGTTATTTAGTATGAAAATATTATTTTTAAATACCACTGCCAGCTTTTCTATTGCAAGACCAGGCAACCCAGGGCAAGGCTGGAGAAAGTAGGGAGTTGGGTTCATCATGCTTTATGAGGGGAAGAGGATTTGGTGAAATACTTAAGAGAAAGCACTTTCTGTTCTCTTTGATTTCTTTTTCCTTTTTCTGCCTTTTTCTGTCTTAAACTTGTTTGCTAAGGAGTAAAATGCATGGCATTGGTTTGACTTTTAGCTGCACACTACCTTTTGCTTTTATTACTCTTTTAGGAAGTTCAACCCTCCAAGAAAGTCATCAAAAAAACCAGAAGTTGCTTTAGTAACAGTTGACATAGTGTACTAGGTTCGTGTATTGTATTACAGAGTCCAGACTTGTAAAATTTTCATTGAAAATCTTATATATAGTCATCTTTCTTTTCGGCCCTGGGTTTATGCTAAATTTACATAGATTTTAACATTCCTGAAAAAGTAAATCTGGATGGTCACAAACTGCTATTGTAGTATATTTTAGTGTATTTTGTATACGTATATGTAATATATAGTTTAATAATACAGTGATAATTTATTCCTTTCCTTTTAGAATAGAATGTCACATCCAAGCTCAAAGAATACAAAGAACACACACACAAGTTATCTTATTCCCCTATTTTACTATAATGAAATAGTTGGATTGGTTTTAAATTGGGTTTAGAGATGGTGACTTTTGGTAGTATCTTTTCTCTATTATACAAGCACTTCACTCTTTTTTCCTTCCCTCCACACATCATCCCTTTTTCCTTCAAAGTAATGATCATGGTATAAACTTTAATTTACTATTGGCTTTGGAATCAAACCAGTTGGATGCCTTGGAATTAATTAGCATTTTTCTTGTTTCTGCCTCCCAGTAAAGCTACTTCTTTTATGCTGCATTTTAACTTACAACCTATATTGATTTCAGAAATTTAGGATTGACAAGGGCTTTGTGGTAAGCGTATAGAGGAACTATGGCCTGATTTTATCTGTGATAGAGACTGCTGAGATGCCATTATTAGTGGTCAACTTTAATGCTTTCATAATATGATGAGAGATGGTAGTATCTCTGAATTCCTATGATATTTATTCATCACTTAATAAGTCAAAGAAGAGCATGAACAGAAGCCCAAATACTCTTCTCTTTAGAAATTTCAGTAAGTCATTGAATCTAAGAGCCTAATAAGTAGTTTTTATAAAGTTTTTAGTGTCCATCTTGGCGGATTTCTTCCCCCTGAAGGTCTCATGTAAAATGATGAAGTATCAATCCTCATTCTTTATAGCATTGTGGTAGTGTATATTGACACAAATGCTCTTTGTCACAGTATAGCTGCCTTTGAGGTCAAGATGACCTCTTCGTCTAGTCTTTGCAGTCTAGATTATGATTGCTTCTAAATTGAGTCTATGTTTCTTGAGGACAGGAACCGTCTACTGCATCTTAGCTACTTATGTATCTTCCCCATGAAACCCTATGCATATTAGGTGTGAAATATTTGTTGAATAAACGAATATACTAATGCTATAGCTGAAAGTCTGGACATCATGCGTCACCCAAGGTATTAATGATATGTATCTTCCCTGCCAGTAGCTACTGGCTCTTACTTGGTTCTCTTCAGGCTAGATATCGTGGTACTGCTTTGTGGCACTTAGGAATTTTCTGGCGCTCTAAGAGGTGGAGTGTTTGAGTCATCCACTTGTTACTCAGGTTGTTTCTTAGTTCTCCTTTAATCTGAGACAGCTGCCAGACATCCCTAATTTGTTTGCAGTGGTCTTCAACCTCCTGGAGTTTCACTTTGCAGCTGTATAATCAAGATGCTATTTTGTGAAACATCAGTTTGTACAATAGGGAAAGTTGGAGAAGATCTGGTGATGATGAGTCAGGCACTGCCTTACAACAGCTGCAGGAAACAAAATATTCTTTTGGTGCCTCTGATATTAACATAATTAATGAGATGTCACTCTAGATCTTGTGGACATCACCCATGTCTTTTAATTGGAACAGTTAGGCTGAAGATGAGTGAGAATTGTGTTCCTTTCTAATCCTATATTCAACTTAAGTGTTGAAATAAACTTTTTTT